AAACCACACGAAGGCATAGTCTCTCACTCCTACTTAATTAGGACGGAGCGGGGTTTTAGCTCATGTCATGAAAATGCAGTTGTGCAGTGTGTGAGGAAAAACGAAAAAACACACAATAAAAAAACTCAGAACCAATTCCCAAAACACATAATTATTCTGAAACCATTAGCAAACAGATCAGTACAACTATTTAATTGTTAATCGAATTAAATTAAAAAAAATCAAAATATAAACAAAACTTATTAAAAACCAAACAAGGGATCAAAAACCAAATTAAAATGAATTTATAACTTTCAATTGCAAAGACAATTAATTAATCGACTATCAGCCTGACTCTTTAAAAAAAAGTCCCCAGTAGAGTCGCCAAGCTGTCGAAAATATTTTTTTTTTAAAATGAGAAAAAGTGAGATTTTGAAAACCACATTAAATCTTAATTATCCTCTTTTTGATTTAAAAACAAATGCGATTTAAAAGACCTCTCGTTTCGAAAAATTTTGGATTTCCTTTACGATCGAAAAAATACGGTTCGAAGAGTCGCCACCAATTTTTGATTAGGGTGTGATTGGGCACCCAAAAATGTTTTGTCATTTTAAATAAAATAGAAAAATTAATTTTAATTAAAATAACAAATTGAGGTCTGCGTTACAAAAAAAATGAGTTCGGGAGTCGGTTACGTGTGGGGAAGGATTAGCACCCCCACAACGCCATAAATCGGTACCTAGTCGATTAATTAACGTCTTTGCAATGAACTTTACAAATTCAAACTTAATTTGATTTTTGATCCCATAAAACAAAGATGTAAATTTAAAAACATTCAAAAGCACTCAAATAAATTAAATTAAAATTACCGAGTCGTTTTAGAAAGATAAAGAATGTTAGATTATTTACAAATATCGAGACCAGATATTAAAAGCTATAACAACCTTTTCTCGATAAATTTAAATACCCGAACATTTCTTTTTCTTCCATTCTCAAATGTTAAAGTGATGGATCAATTTTTAGGCGTTACTAATGGGATATACTTTTATTTTAAAACATTAAAAGCGGACCTCAAATGCATTATGACAACCCACTTAAAACAATTTTAAATTAAAAGGGTATTACCCTTAGTCCGATTATGTATTTATAAGTCGAGTTATGCACATGAAGGTATTATACAAATTGTGCAAAATAAATGAAAATGTCATGCATACCATAAATAAATCATTCTCACACTTATACATACATGAATTTATCAATGTATAAAATAAACATAAACAACTAATTAAAGAAAGCAATCCTTACAATGGACTAAAATAAAAGAAATTTAAATTTAAGGACTGAATCTAGCAGATAAAGTAATCTAAGTACACTGAAATCAACAGTACAAATATAATTAAAATTAATAACCATGAAGAAAATCTTAACAAACTAATTCGTAATCACAATATAAAATAAGCGTTAAACTAAAACAGATTTAAAACATGCATTTGTGAATTGAATGTAAAAACATAGGAAATATTAAGGAACTAAAGCATAATTATTTTTTGTTTTGCGTATATATGGCCTTTAATACTTAAACAGCAAACATCATGCAACATATAAGACATAAAAATCCAAAAAAATAATATAGATAAACGCTGAAAAGCAGGACGGACTAGAACAGAAGGCTCAAAAATAGAGAAGTAAAATCTAAAATTCAGAAAATATAAAAAGGGCCTAAAACTGAATTTTACCCTAAGCTTCAGTGGCTAAAATCTAATTTACCCAAAACTAATAATATAAAACCTAACTAAATAATTAAACCTAGACTAACCTCACCTATGCCACTCATCTCTCAACCTTTTTCTATCAAACTCACATGAACGCCGCTCACCATTATCCCACGCTAGCCCAACCCTTTGCTCAATCACTACCCCAAATACTACGGTTAATGCCCCTAAATGCCCTATATGGACACGATTTACATCTCTAACCACCACCGCGGTGGTTACTTGCAATGAAGGACCCGAATCGATGAGGTAAGTATTTCACTCTTTACTCCGATCTAAAATCCTAAATCTGTGCCTAAGGACTCACGGCTACCTCTCCTTTGCTCTTCCAAGAGCCGAAGGCCTTTCCTCAAAAGCCATGGTCGACTACGATGACTCAAGTAGACTCGGTAAGCTTCTGACCCTTATTCTCGTTTCAAACAAAAATCACACACACACACATATAAATCTCTATTGGAAAATAAACAAAATGAAAGAAATACCTCCTAAATGCTTTTTGGTGTTGCTTTTGCTCGAGACAATGTTATGACCTTTGTGAATGATTGATGCTTTCCTTCAAATGGAACCGTGAAATTTTAAAAAAAAAATTGCTTTCTTTTATTGCTTGCAAAAATGATGAACTAGAAAGTCTTTACAAAATTCTCTTTTTTTTAGTTCTATCTGTATTCCCCCCGCTTTTTGCTTTGAGATGGTTTTTTTCAATTCTCCCCCTCCCTCTTTGATGGTTAATCCTTAAAGCTGACCCCTTTAACCCCTTTACAATTTTTTTCTGCCCATAATAATGGACCCCGATCTTATTGGTAACTTCTGATAACTTACCAATTATCCTACATGGCTAAAAAAATTTCCATTTGTTGTAGGGAATCCTCACGTGAACTGGCGAATACTCTGTTGGATCGTTGGGCTTAAATTGGACCTTTAACTGGTTTGGGGTCGGGTTAGGTTACCATTGCTTCGGGTCCGCTCCGATTTAGCCCCGAACAAATCGAGTATCTCAAATATCTAATTCACATGCTGGTTTGAAAAATAAACCTAACCGTATGGTCTCTAGTTCACACACATTTAATTAGAAAATGAAATTAAATGACTCAAATTTTTTTCCTTGTGTACCCTTCTCACGATACTCTTAAGATTTGGGTTAAGCTCGACCTATATTCAAGTGCTATGTTTACTATATGTTGGGTTCGGTTCTAGAGTAATAGGTTCTCAAATTGTCCTTGTCGGTGCCTCCTTGGGCTACTGAACCCTTAATCCTGGCCTATCACAGGCTTTTGGGGATCGAGTTCAATTTCGAGGGAACACACCTCCTTATGTTCATGAGGAGGTGAAAACCTAACGAGGATTATAAGGCGTGAGCTCCAGGAGTGATCCACTATCCCATGCGGAGGTGAAAACCTCACGAGAGAGTAGTCTCTCACTCTTACTTAAATAGGACGGAGCAGGGTTTTAGCTCATTTCATGATAATGCAACTGTGCAGTGTGTGAGGAAAAGCGAAAACAAAGCAAACAACATTGAACAGAAAACTCGAGACCCTGAACAATTATTTAATCTGAAAACATTAGAAAACAGATCAGTACAACTATTTAGTAGTTAAACAAATTAAGAGTCAAAATGCAAACAAAACTTATTTACAACCAAACAAGGGATCAAAAACCAACTTAGAACGAACTTGTAATTTTATTTCCAAAGACAATTTATTAATCGACTAATGGCCTGACTCTCTAAAAAAAATTCCCCAGCAGAGTCGCCAAGCAGTCGAAATGTTTTTTTATTAAAAGCGGGATTTTGAAAACCACACCAATTTTTAATTATCTTTTTTATGATTGATTTTTAATTAAAAAGTAATGTGATTTTAGAAAACCTCTCGTTTCGAAAATTTGAGAATTCATTCCTGATAAAAACACAGGTTGGAAGAGTCGCCACCAATCTTTGATTAGGGTGTGATTGGGCACCCAAAAACGTTGTCATTTTAAATAAAAATTAATTTTATTTAAAACAACAAATTGAGGTATGCGTTACCAGAAAATGAGTCCAGGAGTCGGTTACGCGTAGGGAATGATTAGCACCCCCACAGCGCCCTAAATCGGTACCTAGTCGATTAATTAATGTCTTTGCAATGAAATTTACAAATTCAAATTTAATTTAATTTATAATCCCCAACAAAATAACAACATACAATTTTCACCATATTCAAAAACACCCAGATTGATTAAGTTAAAATTATCCATCCTTTAGAAAGATAAATAATATTCGATTATTTAAAAATATCGAGACTATATCATAAATAGTAATAACAACATTTTCTCGATAAATTTAAATAGCCGAACATTTCTTTTTCTTCCATTACCAAATTTTAAAGTGATGAGTCAATTTCTTAGGTGTCACTGATGGGATACCCTTTTATTTTAAAATCGTTAAAAGCGGACCTCGAATAAGTTAAGACAACCCACTTAAAATGATTTTAAATTAAAAGGGTATTACCCTTTATCCAATTAAGTAATAATGTCGAGTTATGCATGTGAGGGTAACATACAAAAATTAATTAAAAAACTTATTTAATTAATAAATAATATTTGAAAAATTATTATGCAATAATATTTTAATACCACAAATTATATACATTATAACTTACGTATATATATTAATATGTAATGTACGAAAGTGACTTAAAAATAACCAATGAAAACATAACATCTCTAAATACAAATTTTAGAAAATAATTGTATTTATTAAAATAAGGACTAAATAAAACATAATTATCTTGAATGTAAACAAAATAATAATTAAGATATAAATATGAATATTACCCTATTGAGTACTAAAAAAATACTACAAAAGATTAAAATTTAAAACCAGAATAAACCTAATATATACATGATTAGGTAGTAACATGTAAAAATTAAATAGTCAAATGTCTAAATAAATAAATCAACCTTGACTAAAAAGGAACTTGCAACATATAGAATCCTAATGTCTAAACAGCATAAATTAAATAAACATGTGGGACTAAAATTTAATGCGCATAAAATACAAGGACAAAATTATAAACATATAAACCTACAATTAGTGACTGAAATGAGATGCGCTTAAAATTTAGGAGCTACAATCAGAAAATATAAAATTAAGGACCCAAATTTAATACTTCAAAAACCAAAGGATCGGTCAAAGAGTTTACCCCTCCACAAAACACAAGTTGACAGTTATTGAAACACTGCAATTTTGATGGCTGCCTAAACGACGATGCATAGTTCATCGGATATAGGTAATATTTAGGGTATAATGTTTACCCTATTTTACTCTCAACTTAACTTCTCCCCTAACAAAATGCCTCTCTCTCTTTCATCCTCACAACGCCGCTCGACACCAGAGAAGGAATTAGCCGTCGCTCCATCGCCACTCACCAGCGTTCTGCCATCGTGAAACTCCTTGGAGTTCACTGGCCACCATCGTTCAACGGTTCCGATAAGGAACCTAGACCCATCCCCAAAACTCTCATAACCACACCATTAACATCTTCTTCCCTCACTTTTCTCTCAACTTCGGTGATCACCAAGCTACACTCGACGAGGGCTGCGCCCCCAAGGTAAACCTTCTATCCTTAAATTCTTTAATGGTATTTTTTTGATGATTTTCTTGTATTTTTTAATGGTTGAAGTTCGATTCTACAAAAGACTCATTTTTTTTCTTTTTTATTTACTTCGATCTAAACCTATGGAACCCGACACTGCCAATCTAATACTCCAAAGGCTCGGACGATGTCAACCCTGCTCTCGGCTCCTTTACACTCGGCGAAAACCCCAGACGAATAACGTTTACCCAATGACAAGATTCGAAAGAAAACAAGTAGGAAAAAGCTCTTCTATTTTTTTTTTTTTCTTACTCGTATTCATTCTGTAAACACACACAAAACAGTGAAAAATATCAAACAGATGGTACCTAATTTTGAATTGCTTTCTTCCCGAAAAGAATAGGATCTCTTTTACAAATGCTTTCTGGGGTTTAATACCCGATTACAAGACTTCCTTCATATCAATTTGTCATGGCTGATTTTTTTCTTTTTCTTGATGATTTCGGTTGATTTCCGGTTTTGTGGCTGATGGAAAACTCTCCAGTGTTTTTTTCGTTTTTTGTGTTCTTTCTGCTTCGTTCCCCTTCTCTTGTTCATGAAAAACTCCCTGCTTGAATGGTCCCCCATATTTATTGTTGCTTTGAATCCACCATTTTCCTTGTATTAGTGTTGAAGCAGATATGTTTAACCTCATAATTTTTGGGATTTATTTTTTATTTTAAAGGTTTAGGTAAAGGCTTGTCTAAACTCTTAGACTTTGGTGGTTAATTTGTTTGTTGATTTTGCTTATATTTTGCCGTTATATCAGCTTCAATGGATGCCATGATTGGTAGTCTCATTCACGCAGATGAGAGCAACAGTGAAGCACACAGCATCTCTGGTGGGTGGCGGGTCGGATCTTGTAACCGGGTCTAGATCCGGATCTTGGGCTTGAACCAACATCTTGTAATTGAGTTGATATTTATAACTGCTTTTTGGTCTTTGTTGGGCTTCAAGTTAATTGTTGGGCTGTAAAATATAATAAATAGTATTAATAATATTCATAATATAATAATAATAATTATTATATCCTGGACAAAACGGGTGTCTACAGTCGCCTTGATCAGAGTTAAACTTGTAGAGACTCCATAAAAAATCCTTAAAAATATCCCAATATAAACTAGATCAAAAAGAAAATAATAATATTAGAAATTGTGAGCCAGTAAAATATCATAATGTGACAGTGAGGTTTATTTAATTCACATAAATACCCTCCACCCGTACACTGAAATACAATCCTCTGTAATTAGATTTGTAAGGACTTATCATGTATTCATTGATAAAAGAGCCAACCTAAGGGAGTACCTTAGGTCTATAAGAAATTACCAACTTGATCAAAGTTGAACATGTAGAACTCCATAATAAATCATATATAGTACCCAAATAAAATAGTTTTAGATAATAAATAATAGTATTAGAAATTTATATTTTATAGTAAAATCGGTTATTATAGAACATATATAAGGCAAACATATTTTGTAATCAGTAAATCTATAATTAAGATTTCAATTAGATAATTCATTCATAAATCAAAATAGATAAAATAATCATATAGCAAGCAAGGAACACGCTATAGGATTTCGTTATTTTTCAGAGGCACTTGGTAGTTACTAGGAAGGGAAAACATAAAATTCTTTTAAAATAATCGGATTTCAAAAATGAGGTCCTATTAAAAGGGTTCGATTACTAATCGATCTAATCAAATATTTAGAAACTAATGCTTCAAGACCATTTAAGATTTATGTGCATCATGAAGGTATTCATAAACCTTTATATCATAAGTATTTAAGACTTAGATATAACAAGAGAGATTTTATTATTATAGCCATCAGGGGTATTTTAGAAATTTTGATTCCTAAAGAATTCTTAGTAATTTAACCCAATAAGGATAAAATGGTGATTTTTTGTATTCAGTATTTACATCAAATTATCAGGATTTCGAGTCAAATCAGACTAAACAAATCATGGCGCTATGATTGAGATGCTTCATGAATATTCACTTAATATCAATTGCACTATATCGATGAAATGATAAACTTCAGAATCATCATTGAATGGATCTTGAGGAGCCAAATATGTATTTTGGTTGCATTCATTTTATTTTCTTTTTGTTGCAATAGTACCAATAATGAACGACATGCTTGGGTCGTGCTCTATAACATTTAGGTGTGATACAACATTTAGGTTTATCTGTATCTTCAAAATTTATCTAAAGGCATTCACTTAATCTAAATCAAGAGAGTATTTGGGACATTTCATTAATCAAAGTTATTTTAGTCATTTCGGAGCTCGAGGGTATTTCGATCATTTTATTCGATCTAATCATATGCATTATTTCCAATAATTTAGATCTTGGGTGTTTGTTCAATAAGTCAACAAATATAAATCTTTTACCCTCTCGGATGTTAGAACCTAATTACTACAACTTTTATAAACATGAAAAAGATTTAACAGGTGAATCAGTAAGTTTATCGAGTCGAATATGAATTCTCATGTCCATTCCACTATCAGAGTCAATTCATGTCATCTTTTACGTCTCAATGGCACTTTTATAAATTTTTATCCAATTATTGTTGGCCTTAATAATTTTATCAATGATAATAAGAATTTAAGGATTTTTAACTTAATTCATTTATCGATTAATCACTAACCTTGGAATTATTCTGTAACTATCTTTCAATTTTTTATAAGATTCTATTAAGTCTAAACCAACTTTCTATCCTATTGCCATATTCAGTACGAGTTTCATAATAATAATCAACGTAATTTTCATAACCATTCATGCATTAACCAGTTACCAAAATGTACCAGAAAGCATGTATAGGGTAGTAGAGTATTACCTCGATTTTTATGTTACATCGATCGACCATGTCGACTCCATTCGATCACCCTTGAACTTGAATTCAATATACAATAATAACTCGAATACATAGCAAAATGAATTACATCATAAATGGGTCTCAAACGCGAAAATCAAATCGAATCAAATGATAAAATACTGAAAAATAGATTATCGTGTTGAAATTTAGTAGAATGGACCCCAAAAACGGACTCATGACTTAAAAAAAATCAAAAATTGACATTTTAAAAAAAGTTAACTTTTTGATCAATGTCAGTCAACGTTGGTAAAATTCAACAATAGTCAATGTTAGTGAATGTCGGTCAAATTCTTGTCAATTATCAACTATGGTGCCAAAACCTTACTCTCGAATTCGAGCTCACAATATTGATTTCTAGTTTTTCAATATTTTTCTCACGAACACAAACCATCCATCATATGAATACGACTTCAAATAATTTCCCTCGACATAAAATATATCTCATTAAAATTCATTTAATAGAAAAAGGACCTAATTGACCAAATGAAAGACCTATAGAGCCAATTTAATATTTAATTACAGAAACCATGTATTAAATCAAATTAATTTAAATTATTAAGCAAAAAAAAAAAGATAGACAATAAGGACAAATTCTTACCAAACTAGGAGGACTAAAACCAAAACTAGCCTCGTTCCCTTTTTTAGTTGTCCCCAAAACTTGGGTGTGCAAAAATACTCAATTTGATTTATATGATCCAGTGATCTAATCTAAAAATTTGAATATCTAATTCTTTTTTATTTTCAGATAACTCAAATAAGATAATCGAAATTTTTTGAATAATTAGATCGGATAGGAATTGGATAAATTCCACTTTCAGATTATCCAAAAATCCGAAAAAATTGAGCTTTTAGATTTTAGATAAATTTAGCCCCATAAACTCACTAACCCAATAAAGCTTTAAACTAATAAAAGTTAGAATATTTAATTATTTATTTTCTGTAGTAATTATATATATATATATAGTAGAAGTATCAAATAAATTACATTAATTCAAAAAAAGTTAACGTTTAAAATTTATATTCAGATTTAAATATTCAATAAAAAAATTGGATATTTTTTTTCCATACTAGATACGTATCACTATTTTAGATATCCTAAATTTTTGGATATTTAATTTTTTTGGATCAGATCTGATCTAATATCTGAATTCGCACACCCCTATCCAAAACAATGTCGTTTTGGGTGGCTTTTAAAATCAAACTCCCTTTATTTTTACACATTTCTCATACTTCAACTTTCAAATACCCTCCCCTCACGTTCCAGTGCACTGTAAAGAAGACATGAGAGCTTTGTCAGTTGATCACTGGTGACCACCGTCGTCACTAATGGTTGTTGAAACTAAAAGTCACCACTTGAATCGCCTTGAACTCCCCAACACGATTTCGACCTTCGATGGCCTTCAATCTCCTCATTAGGCACTGTTAATCATGTGATAGTCTTCCTTTTATGGTATGTTGTTTGCGACATCAAGATTGACCTTTTCACCATTACGATTCGCGAGTTGTCATCAAAATCATTGGGATATAAAATCCCAAGCTAGCCAAAGTTTCTCCTTCTTTCCTTTCTTTTCTTCGCCGACGATGTTTTCATTCTAAATTTTATTTTGCTTACTTTTGGTTGCACATTTGATAGTGGTTGCTAGCCCGATCGTTGTTGTTAGTTGAAGTTGTTGTTATTTCTTGATAGTCTCAAAACCATCAATGGAATTAATGTTGTAAAAAAAAAGACCAACCATTATTTCTTGATAGTCTTAACACTTGGTCGGAGAAAAGTGTCACATCTTCGTAGTCCACAAGAGCCTTAAGTACCTACTCACACAAAAGAAGTTGAATTTGAGATATTGTAGATGGGTCGAGTTATTAAAGGACTACGACTCTGTGATAGACTATCATCCGAGAGGGGTAAATATAGTTGCATACGTCTTGAGTATGAAGTTGATGTTAGATTTGTGAGCATTTTTGGCGTGATTAAGTTTGTCAGGTGATTGTGGGTTGTTAGCAGAGCTACGTATTGAGCCAGAATTAGTGAGCAAGTTGAAAAGGTTGTAGAATTCAATAGTCATTTAAGGGCTCATGTGGAGCAAGTTTACCAAGGTGAGATTTTGGGTTTTAATTTGTGTAATGGGGACGTATTATACTTTAGTGGTCATTTGTGCATGCCCATAGATGAATAGCTAAGTAGTAAGATTCTCCATGAAGCACATTATAGTATGCTCTTAATTTACCTAGGCAATAATAAAATGTACCGTGAGCTCTAACAGTCGTATTGGTGGTTGAGCATGAAAAGGAAAGTGTTTGAGCTCATATCTAGGTGCTTAGTGTATTAGCAGGTCAAATCAAAACTTCAAGTTCCTTCAAGGTTACTTTAGCCCATTCAGATTCCTTAGTGGAAGTGGGATAGGGTAACAATCGACTTCTTGATCGCGTTACTAATAACTAGACAGAGGCACGATGCAATGTGGGTTATAGTAGATCAATTAACTAAGTCATCTCATTTTCTTCTAGTACGAATGGAATACACCTTAGAGAGGCTAGCTCAATTATATATTTGTGAGATACTGTTGTGGGTTACCCACTTCAATCATATTCGATCGAGTTTCACATTTAACTTCCTGGTTTGAAAAATCCCATCATGAATCCTTAGGCACCAAGTTACAGTTTAGCACCAAGTTACAGTTTAGCACCACTTTCCATCCTCAAATAGATGACCATTTAGAGCGAGTCATTCAAATCTTGGAGGACATGCTTAGGTGCATCATTATAAATTTCGAGGGTATTTGGGAGGACCACTTGCGACTGTTGGAGTTTACTTGCAATAACAGTTACTAGTCCAGTATCCAGATGGTTTCATACGAGGCTTTATATAGACACAAGTGTAGGCTTCAACTTTGTTAGACAAAGCTTAGTGAAGGAAAGATAGTTGGCCTTGATCTGATTAGAGAGAACGAAGAAAAGGTTTGGTTGAGCTAGAGTCGTCTGAGAAATAGCCTTTGATAGGTAGAGATCGTATGCGAACTTGAAGCATAAGGACATTGAGTTTACGAAAGGTAATAAATTGTTTCTCAAGGTATCCATGTGGAACAAAGTGATTCATTTGT